TAGAAGTTGCAGGTAACGTAGGAGCTATTCAGCCCTTGGACACTAATGTCTTCAGGGGCATGATGAAAGCTAATATCAAAATTAGCTTTCTAATGAGCATTTCAATCCGCTAACTCAGACGCTTGTTCTGATATCGTCCTCTCTATTTTTCTGAACCTGGCCTGCATAGCAGGGCTCTGGGGCGGAGCTTGGAATTGTGACATAGGAAATCCCACTGTGTCTGAGCCTGCTGTTTGGATATGCCAGAGACTCAGCAATTTCACACTTATTTTTCTCATGATATGTCCTGTAGCATCACAAAAATGCCACACGAACATGTGAAAAACAAGAAAAACATGATTTTCATCAGAGTACAGAAACTAACAAAGGAAATGCAGCAGCAGCTGAGCATGTCAACATGGATGAACTGGGAACAAAGATGTAACCAGTCATTCCCTTTTTATTAATGAGTGATTTTTGTGAGTCCCTTAATTGGTTGTGTGACAGTATACCGACTGTGTAACCATGCTGTCATGAAGTGGCAACTCACACAAGGGTGAGAGGAGTTAATCTCAAAGTTTACTGCTGTATCTGATCACAGCTTGGTACTGTAGGGTATACAGCTGTCGGTGTGACTTCAGTTCACTTCCTGAAGTTAGGTGAGTCAGAAAGGTCCAATTTAAAGAAAAGCCCGGAGACAGGGTTTGTCAACTTCTTTACTCTTCTGTGCAAACACAGCCTTGAATGCACCGCCTTCTTCAAGTACAATGAGTAAAATCTGCAACAAGAAATTATAAAAAAAAATATTAGTTGGTGTTATATGTTTAGTCACAAAGTAAAGTTTTCCCAGAGAACTGTTTCTCCAGTGGTATGGACCAGACCAAAACCTTGTTATTCTGTTGAGGTGCAATTCTGAGCGCTAGCTAAATGAGCCGGCAGTGGCTTTGCTGCTTCTGGGGACCAAGCTCTGTGAAGGGGGAACAGGTGTGAGGAGGGGAGGGCTGCATGCGCCGATTAGCAGACAGATGGCGGAGTAGAGTTCATCCAGGAGCAGAAAGGAATGGGGAACAGAGAGGACTGAAATGTAATGAGCAACACACATTTGCCAACACTCAGATGAGTAAAATGTAAGAGTGACAGTGGAGAAGAATGATGTTTAAAATATGCATGAATAACAAGTTATTAATAAACTATGATTGTATGACAAGAAAAAATGCAAAAATTAACAGTTATATAAAAAAAAAAGTAGGGCGCTGTTTGTGAACCTGTGAGTTTTTAATATCACAGCTCTGTGGATAAAATGTCCATGTTTTTTGTGTGGCTCGCCTTGCAGTCATCGGCAGATATGTGTAACCTCCAGATGCCACAACTTTTTTGGAACGTGTTGTGTTGCATCAAATTCAAAATAAGTGAATATTCGGGAAAAAAAATGAAAGAAAATAAGTTTCCACAGTTAAAAACATTAAATATCTTGTCTTTGTAGTTTATTCAGTGGAATGCAGGGCAAAAGGTATTACCAAATCACTATATTCAGTTTTTTTTTCCGTCTTCACTTGATTGGCTTTGGGTTTATACTTGTCACTGGCAGAAGATATGGAAAATATCGGTTAATTGTTTTTCACCCAGCATCATGTGGCGTGAGCCAGAGTATTTATTGCCAAGTGGTCTTAGATCTGTAATTTGTTGGCCTATTTGTTCTTGGCTGACAAGCCATGCCTGAAGTTGTCTCTGCCATTATAGGCTCATCTCTCCTGCCAGTTTGTTTGCTTTGTCATGAGCTCTGATGAGGCAGTGTGTATCACTGTTAATTCACTCCGTTTTTGTTTCGGCTTAGTTCGTATAGTCATGATATCACTTATGCATTTGGCCATGAAGCGAGTGTCTGGTGAGGCAAACTGCTCTTGGCGAAGTGAGAATTCTTGAAAAGGGTTTCAGTCAGCAGATTCAGAGCTGTCATGCAGCAATGCCTCTGCCCCCTCAGATCACCCTTAAGGCTGAACAATAATCACGATTCAAGGTAAGGTTCCAGGCAAGGTTTGATATCATTATGGCAGGTTTGCAAAGTGATAAGCTGCCAAAAAGAAACACGATTAAATATTAAGAAAGTTGGACCTTCTAAAAAAGTAATCAGAGTGAGGCTTGGCTTCTGGTCAGGGACTTTATATATTTCTTTCACTGAACACTTAAAAATAAAGAAAATTACTCTTTATGCTCTCGTGTACTCTTCAGTAAAGCATCCTTACAGTGTCAAATAAAGTTAATCATCCCTTTTGGCAGGAGTCTCGGGTATCATGTTCATGTCGATTTTTAATTTGTGACCTTTAGTTATTGTGCGCCTTGTGAGGCTGATGCAGTTTACTGAGTAGAAGGTGTTGGATGTTTGTGTCTGCGTCAATGTTGGTGCTGATGTGTGATTTTATTCAAACACCATTTGGGAATTTGGACCTTTCAATAGAATGCTCCTGCTGTGCCAGACACTTTCTTCCTCTGTCTTCTGTCTTTCTTGTAATTAAATGTCTCCTCATTAGTTTTGTTTATGGTGTCAATGCATCAAAACATTTCAGTAACAATCAAAAATGGTAATCTCACCATGGCACCGGAGAAGAAGTCAGGACTACTGATGTTAGTGAGCTTCAACTGCCAAGGACAATTATCTGTAGAAATTTTACAGTTGACTTATGTTGATCTACCTCAACTGATCTGATGGACACACATGCTGACATCCGGTAATTAGTAAACCCACATTTTAGGCATGTCAGAAATAATAGATGTCAAAATATGTTGGCTGACAAATGAAGGATGTATCCTAATGAATTTCTTACGATTAGCTTCTATTTATAGATTAATTATGGCCCTATAGGCCTGCAGCACGTTGTACTCTTCTTCCCTGAGTTGATTTTCCTCACAGCAGCCTGTTCCTTGCTAGGTGAGGTGAAGATTCATGTCACATTGGCTTATTACGGTGATGGGTCCCTGTGCTACCCATGAATTATGCAATACTCATGTGGCTCAGACAACAATGCCTGACAATGACAGCAGAGTAGAAATTCATAGCATTTTATCAGCCGAGCCTGGATTCGGCTCAAAATCCTCCGACTGGGCTGTGTTATAGCTTCAGGAGCTCAACTAGATTGAATGTGGTGTTCCTGCAGATGGAGATGATGAAAACCATAGAAAAATGAGGTGGGGTAGGTAAGCTGACGAGAGGCCCTTTTCATTGTTTACATAAACCCAATCGGAAAGCATTGACATTCTAAAGACCTAGGGGCTGCTGTGTGCTGCAGGCAGTATGCAAAAAGATATGGAGGGAGGATAGGTTAGACATTCAAAGCACAGTCAGTGCTATAAAACAATTCAAGACCAGAGCTTTTTGGCCACAAATATCTGTGCCTGTAACTATAAATCACAAACAAGGGGAGAGACAAAAGAAAGGGAGGATTGTCAAGGTGTTAAAAAGTAAATGTATTCTGTAGCTTTCATTCCAAATGCACAATAACACACCATATTTCAGTGATGAACACAGAGATAACTAGTGAGCGGATGGAGCCTTATTAATGGGCTCAGCTGCTGCAGCATTTGGTTGGAAGGAAACCATTAATTCTGTTTGGAAAAAAAAGCCTTGATGCAAAGTGCTCAAAGCCAATAATAGAGATACAAAGCTTGTTAAAAAAGCAAGCGTCAGTGACAGTAGGTGTTAAATATAAACCTGAGTTACTATGTAATCTTGAAGCAGGGGGTGTGGAAAAACATTTATAACTGAGACGAATGTCTCTCTAACTTGTTATCAGCAGCTTTAAGGACCAAAGTCAAGTTAACCTTGATTACATTCTCTGCGTAAGGTATGTGGGTAGATGGTAGTTGGCAGTTTCCTTAAGTTATGCAAGTGCAAATACCCTCTAGATTTTCAGCTACCCTTAGTTGCATGCAAGAAAAAAAAATCAGTCTAATGTTGCATTCACACTGAGCACGAGTAAAAACATCTACACATATAATTCACTCCTGCAAATGATTTTACTCGTGATTGGTGTGAGTGCAACATAAGGAGAGAAACAGGTGTAGTGAAATCCCAGAACCAATTTATAGTCACTGGATAATAAATTAGCTTTATTCACTGTCTACAAACAGATTTCATCGTTCAAAAGTAAAACCAATGAAATGTAAAATTTGTTAGCCTAATTTATAGGGCAGTTGTATCAGGCTGTAAATGAACTCAAGACAGCCTGTGAGACATAATCACATCATATACTTGTTTTAGAAAAATGTAAAGTTAGATGATTGGTAGTTGTTTTTTTCTGAAAACATGATTCACTCCATACTCTGTATTTCAGGTATAAAATGGGCCTTTAAACTCATACAAAGGTTGGACAACTGTGGTCACATTCATGATTTTTTCAGTCATAACAATTTGTATCCATTTCAAACTCCTTTGCACTCTTTCTTCACACTTAAGGGGCAACTTCATCAGCAGCAGGTCAACAGTGAAGAGGAGCTCTAATTTGACAGACACATCCCAATCACTCTCTCTGTTTATGTCTACATGCAGTTTTTAGTGGCAGCTGAGGAGAGTATTAAATCAAAATCTCACAAGATGTTTTGGACATCTTCAAGAAAATCATTCACTTTTCTCAGAATGAGAAGTGTGGCCTTGGCCTTTCCTTTTGACAGTGATGAGGTGCTTCCTGCTCCTCAGACAGATATCCGTATCAGACCTAGAGCATCCGCAGATGTTCCTGCACATGTATGATCATGTCTAATGCCTTAAATGGGCACAAGTGCCACAGCTTTCAAGCATTTTGCAACAAGTTGTAAGTGTTATTGGCCGAGCCGCCTGTTTTTCATCAGCACTCCAACCAAGTGTGCATCTGTTTCCTGGTTTCAATTTCAGCCTCCACAGGTTCTCAATTTCTGATCTTTGGGACATTATGAGTTTTTTTCTCTCCACCATGTTGCAGAAGAGCTTTGCTTTTTTAACATAAAGCTGAATATAAATCTGAACAAGACCATTGAACTTAATGTTCAATTTTGGATTTGCCCTAAGATGTACAGTATGTACACATTATTTGTATTTTAAAAATTAAAACACAGTCCGTGTTGACTGATGTAAAGTGAATAACAGCACTGACACAAAGGAAGCAAAGGGATCTCAATGCAGAGGATTTGTGAAAAAACAAATACACAACAAAATGAGTGCCCTGATTTTGGTTCTGATTCCTAACAAAAGTCACAACAGCTGAGCAGGCAGTGTGTGGATTGTCATGTACAATTTAACAATAACAAACTAGGAAGCAAGCTGACGGAAGAGGGCAGCACGGCAAACACAACCACAGTGACAGTAATGTGAAGTATGTAGTCATATGGACAACAGCAAGAGGACTAACTTGTTGACTGAGGGTAATGAGTGTTTATATATTACCTGTCAGTCTGATATGTAAATAAGTTGAGCAGACATTGCTACCCAAACAGAAGTGTAGCCAAGCATCCAGTAATGTGCAGCTTGACAACCATTCCAACAACACATATTTGTTTACTCCGAGGCTATTTTCACAAAGATATTTCTAAAAACAGATTTTTTTCCTTTGTTTACAGAAAAAAAAACATCCTGTCCACACCTGAGGTGTTTCTGATTATTTTTCTGTTCACACAACAATGCAGAGGAGGGTTAAAGGGGGGTTTGGTCATTACAGAATTACATTTGCTCTTGAAAAAATACAATATTAATAAAACAATGATAGGAATAGGAATGAAATTGGGAATAAATAAGAAATTGCAATAGTGAGTAAAAAGTGCAGAATATTAGAAATAAAACTATTTTCAAAGTATGTCACGCATATGGAATGTAATATTGAATATCATGGCCATGTACAAGTTTTCTCGCACATACCTAACACCTGTCAGGAATTTACAAACCTTTGGTTCACACTGAATACAAGAAGATCTGGAATTATGGTTGTAATTCGAGTAGGCACTCTGGTTGTTTTCAGGGTTATTTTCTCATTCCCTGTGTCCTCAACATTACTGAGGGAGTTTAGTGAGGAGAATTTTACCATCCTGTTCACGCTGTGGTGTGGTCTACAAAATGTCTTTTCTACTGACTGTTTAATCCACTTTGAACACAGCTGTAGACCCTCAGGTTTTGATACAAAACATTTCTACACAAAATAGTTGACACAAAATGTTTAAAACATTTGCAAAGTAACCAAGGTAACTGAAAAAAGAGAAAGGGCTGTTTTTACTCACTGTCAACAGCAAACTATGCATTTGCATTGAAAGATACAATCAGGTCGGATGGACCTTTAACAAACTGGGCTGGTGTGATTAAATACAATTTTGTAAAATATTTTTAACATTTCAATACAAGACAGTGTATTGAAGTACGGTAAAGGCTCATTTTTTGTTGCGAAAGGTACACAGTCCTGTGAATATAGCGCACTACGTTATCTTACAGCAGTATCAGGGTTGGGGAAGAGTTGTTGTCTGTAAACTAGGTTTTAAGGTGTTGTATACTAGGACAGTTTAAATTACAGTCAAATGACATAAGGAAAGAAGAAGACCGTCTTCATCCTCCCAGTTTTAGCTCTCAAGCTGCAACATCTGCTTGGCATCACTTGATGGAACAGCCTGTTTTTTTTTTGTTTTTTTTTTCTGTGTGGCTGTGGTCCACCACATATTTTCATTCAGTATATTTTAAGGCAAAATAAAACAGCTTTATATTAATTTATTTGCCAGATACATGGACCATGTTTGGTGAACTGTGTGGGGGCTTGGCTGAGGTTGGAAACGAAGCCGAAGAACCTCTGACGGTTGAGGCGAATGCTTTACCAATTGAGCACCTGTCAACAAGCCAAAAATAGCTGGAGGATAGTGGATAGAGTCCGAAACGGAGGAGAAAGAAGGGAATGACATGCAGGAAAGGCACCAAATCGGGGAACAAAACGAAACGAAATCTAATCGCTAAGCTATCTAAGCTATCTTTGCCCCTTATTACTCTAAAACTGGTACAGTTCCTTTGTCTTTGCCTTGTGTGGCACAACTCTAAAAAGTAAAGAAAGATTGTTACAGATTTCATCTGTTTTTGATAACATGGAAGACCTCAATGTTGTCAGCGCTTTGAAAAAAGATTACACCAAGTAACTGCGCCTATAGTACATAACAATGGGAAATAAGGGCTCACTAAAAAGTGCATATTTGTAAATTTGAATTTTCAAACAAGTGCATGAATGAATAAATTAACATTATCTTTTACATGTACAGTATGTTGAACTAAAAAGGACCATGGATTTCTATAATCTATTATTTACTTGTGAGCTGCCATTGATGTTCAAGTGATGATGAGAAGTACTTGTTCTGTTACTGTTACTTCAGCCATCCCCACAAAACTTTGCCCGCATGTGTGACATCTATTGTGTCTTTTCGGTTTTGATACAGACACAGTTAAGTGAAGAGGACAACAATGAAGAAGATCCTTTTTAATGTTGGCAAAGCAATTAAAACTACAGCTGTCAGGGCCTGTATTATGAAATCAATACAATCCATCTCCCACTGACCAAGGAGTGAATCTGCAGTGTCTCTCTGAGTATTTGTGTATAAAGAGTATGTGTGTAGAGAAAAGGCTGAAAAATATTTGAATCCTTTTATTATTTAGACCCAAGGGATGAGGCCTACCAAACTTGGTCGTGGTCCAACAATGGGAAAAGGTCGTGTTACAATGAATTGGAGGCCATAAACCACATCTTACATGCTGCAACATTGATGATTGCTCTATCTCACAGAGCTGAGGGTGTGTATCTGGGTGAGCGTGGCTTGGCGTGTGTGCTTTATTCAGTGACAGATTGGGAGTCAGGTGTTAAGCCTCTGCTGTTCTTTTTTAATGGGATATCATTCTCTATGTCCCATATGACAGTGCGAGGAATAATTTCATTTTTTTTTCATGTGGCAGCACAGAGTCATTCACAGCTGTGAGTTTTGGTGTCACTTTCACTCACAGGAATTAATCATCATACAAGTCAGTTCTTATACACCCATAAGATTGTCAAACACTTACCTTGACAGTGTTTATTCAGCACGAAAATTAATGTGTTTTCTCTGGATAGCACATTGACAATTTGCTGTACAGTAAACGCAGCTCCTCTGCATGAAGTATTATAACAGGAACACATACACACATGCGTCACCGGCTCTTGCTGTAGTATAACCGTTAACATAATCACTGAGGCTTGTGAAAGATGTGGATATTCATATGACCTTCAATAACATCTTTTTCTTTTCAGTCTGTAAATGCATATTTAAAATCCCTTCAGTTAATTTAAAATGACAATGTTTGGCATTAACTAATCCTGGCCACACAAGCCAGGATTTAGATTCAGTTTTGCAGACACTATCATGTTTTACAAAAAGTTTTCTCAGAAATGTATTCAGACAAAGGCTCAGGGCTCATAGGAGTTGTTGCTGATGTGCTTTCTGGTGGAATAAAAAACTTAACTGTAGATAACATTCAGAAAAAAAGATTCATCAGCATTTATTTGGAAGACATTTTGCAGTAAGATTAAATTTGACTACTTGACATTCAGTCTCTGTCCTCTTTAACTATCTATACACCAACCAAATAAAAGACCGGTCCTGCAGACACTAACCTAACGCCCCATCATTTTCACCTGCAGCTGTTTCCTGATCCATAACTCCTTACATAAAAGCCATTCCTCTCTTCCCCCTGCTAATTTGTCTTATGTCTTGCCAAGCTCTCAAGCCTACAGTATGTGTTCCTTAATTTTTGGCCCACTATGCTTGTTTTGATCCTGCTTTGCTGCCTTATGTTTGAATACCTGCCTGCTCCTCTTCAGATTGGAGCCTGTTAGACCGATCACCCGGTTCCAACTTTGAATGCTCTTTTACCTCCGGTGTGATTTCTGCTCTGGTTGTCTTATTTTTTGCGCTCCTTAGAAGAAATCTGCAAGCCACAGTTAATTTTGCTGACATATCTCCTACCAATTACTTCTATTATCCATGAAAAATATTCAGTAGTTCAATAGTTCCCTGTGCTTTTGTTCTTTCAAAGGAAAGTTTCAACACATAGTACAGCAAAGATTTGTTAATTATCTGACTACCTCATTTCACAGATCTTCCTCAAGTCCTTTAAGAATAGCTAGTACAATAAAGAGTTTGCAAAAGGGCCAATTAGCATATCATAAGAACTGGAGGCTGGTTTCTGGGGTTTATACAGTCTAAGATGGCTCACAAACACTCATCATTGACTGCTTCAAATCTGGCGCTGACATTAAACATGTAGGCTGATGGGCTCTATGCACCAATCCACTACTTCCTGAATTGAAGGCTGCTCTTTTATCTCTACATTATTGGACAAACTGATTAATCCAGATGTGCCTGAGTAGTCACAATGATCAGTCACACCTGCATTGATCAGTTTGTCCAATAATGTAAGACAGGAAATAAAGGAGCTGCCTTAAGTTCAGAAGGTAGTGGGGCTGTGCACAGAGTCCATTTATCCTGGTCACTCGCTAGAAGTACAACATCATCAAGAGCATCATACAACTCTGTTGGAAGTACTCACGTAGTAATTTGCACTATTTTCAACAAGCACAACAAAATCCCCTGTTGTTAATCTTTATCATTCTTCAAATGTAGGGTTTCACCTATCAATCAAAAACTAATACTGAAGCCACTGTGGCAACTGTGAACTGGTCATACAGTCAATACCACAGGGAACATTTACACTGAGTGAAGCTGGTGTAGATAAAATCTGATTTTGATAAGTCAGTGTGTTTACATGCACAGTGTTATCAGACTAAGCTCATAATTCGGTTTCTTTGCCGAATCAGACTTCTCTCCTTGTCCGTGTATAAATGCAGCTGAGAAAATCGAATTATTGACGTGAACATGTCCCCCTCCCCAAAACTAGGAGGCGATATGGGTCTTTTCAGCAGCGTTATTTCTGACCCCATACAACTGTCAACAACAACAGCAGGTGCCAGATGTCAGAAGTGGCTACAGCTGCTGCTGGGCATTTTCGAGGAAGAAGATGGAGCATAGTGCAGCGTTGTTTTTGTCGTACATGATGTACGTGCTACTTTTTCTGCAGATGAGGTGCACACTACTCCTCTAGGTGTTTTTTTATGGGGGTTACACACACATGCATTGACCAATCATACTCTAACTACGCTGGTTACATTGTAGAGAAAATCGAATTCAGATCGTGATATCTGGGTGTCTTAATCGGAGTTCTCTGACTATAATTGGACTAAGGTGTTTACATGCACTTCAGTTGTCCAGTCTTAAACAGAGTAAGGCAATAATCCGGTTTTCTCAAGTGTCATGTAAAAGTACTGACTGAGACATCTCACTATTTAAATCTCACTATTGAGATGTTTGCATTACAGAATACCATTGTCATAGTACTACTGTTACCACTCTCTCCCTCTGTGCCTGTTGTACATAATGTTACGCCCCACCTGGAGGCGGCCCTATGGAGCTAAAGACAATCCACACATTGACCCAATAAAAGTAAAAAAACACTATTACAGAAGATAAAGATAATTCACCAAGAAGCAACTAAAAAGCAAATTCACAAGACAACTAAAACCCAAAGAACCGAAACACAAATGAAAGGCAGCAGGTCAGCAGTTCCTTCACCAACAGCCGGCAGCTCCTGAGTTTTAAACCTCTCAGCACCAAGTGAGGCTGATTGTCCCTCATTGACTTCACCTGGGCAGCTAAGAGAGTCAAAAGGGGAAAACACAAACACACAGTCGCAACACCAGCAGACTACTATTTTGAAAAACTTAGCAACCAATAAAAAGAAGTAGTTGTGAAACCCCTACCTCATCTTGCCAAGACTGAGAATGACATGCCGGTGTATTTTCTGTTTCCCTAATCCAAATCTACTCAGCCCACACTTTTTTTAAACTGATAACACATCAGTATTCTACCAAAAGCACACTGAAACTTATAAAGTTAGTCACCATATTCCTACATTTTACCTCAAGATCCAATCATTTTGAGAAAGTAGACATATTAAACTCATCTTTATCTTCCATTAAGTCAGTCTGGGACACCTTTGCATGATTTGCAGCTCAAAAACTCCTTATCTTATATTGCCATCCATAAAAACTCTAATTTCAGCACAAGTCAGCTTCTAAATTTTAAGAAAATTTTACATCACAAAAAAGGGGTTTGAGGCTAGCTGTAAGGAGTCCATGTAGCTTCCCATTAAACACCAGCTACTGCTATAATGTCACGGCTTGTGGTTGCGAGTCTTCATAGAGGGTCTTTATAGCCGTAACCGCTCCAGATTTCAGTAACAGTTTTGACAAAATCCAGCTCATGATGGCCTCTATTTACAATGGAGTCATCAGCGGAGAGGCAAGCACAAACAGCTACGTCGTTTGTTACGTCCTAACTCTTTCTCATGTCTTTATCTTTGGGGAAGAAAAGCTGTAACTCTCTTTCACAAGCAAAAGAACGCTCACAAGAAACTCTCCAAGACAACAAAGTGCAGAGCGGAGTAAAAAGCCAAGAGGCAAGCAGATTTCCCAGGTGAGAAAGACTTTCCAAACTTCAAAATGAACGTTACCTAGAAAAAAAATGAAACGTAGTGTTAGTTCTGGCAGGTCACGATGTCAAGCACTGATCCGCAGCCAATGGCAAGTAGCCACCTCGACCAGCTGATGACCCAGCCATTTCCTTGTAGCTCCTAATGGTCCCATGCCTTTAGAGCGCCCTATTTAGAACTGCCCTAACCCAGCCTCTTCCTCTGCTTCAACAGCCAACCAGTTACCCACCTCCATCCCAGCTCCACCCTTGTGCCGACTAAACTGCTGCACTACCCTTGAAGCACTCCTGTTCTGGTGGGTGGGGGTGGGGGATTCTGTTCATTGCTGCTCTACCCTCCATTGTTTCTGCCTTCATGATGCCTCATGAAGGGCAGTAAGGTGCACTTACTGCCACTGAACTACAGTGTGGGCGTGTCCTTAACCTTGTCCTGATTGGACAGCAGAGCCTGATGTCAGGTTCAGGCTATGTCTTACAAAGTTGTCAAAGGAATCTGTTCAAAAAATCCATCTGGGTATCCTGTTAACATTTAGGCTCATGCTTTGAAACTTTGCTGAGGGTGTGGCATGGACATCAAACATTATTACATGAATGTATTTGAACACTGATCAGCATAATAAATCTTCTTAAAGACAGCCATTGTATAAGATCTGTAAAGTAACCCAGACCTAATCTAAAAAAAAGAAGTTTCATTGTGAGATCTTCCATGTTCAATTTAATAGAGCATACACAACTAAAGAACACTGTGAAGGAAAAAATAACTTTGAGAAAACTGGACAAAGCAATTTTCTTCCCTACTTGAAGACTTGTGTTTGTTTTTGTGTCTTGGGGCAAATAAAAGAAACAAATTGCTGTAAATTGACAATAAAACAAAAATCCTCACTGCAGCCAGTGTTCTTACTTTAAGATTTTCAGAGAAAAAAAGATGAGCCTGCTCTGGGTAGCATGAATAACTCCCAACTGTCTACCTTTATTTCTCTCTCCTTTAAAGCTCTGCTCTTTCACAGTTATAGTTGCACCCTTGGCCTCTACTTTGTCTGAATTCAAATGACTCTTGTCTCAATCAGCAGGCTCTTGCATGCTCAAAAACTCTAGCCTGAAAGAACTACTTTTTTCAGCCAAGACACTGCGATTTGTGAGAAAATCATTCTGCGTTGTAATTTCAGCCCGCAGAGTGACTGGTGGCTGAGATAACACACTGGTATAATCACCCAGAGGTGCTGAGTGTCATCATTCTGGCATAGCTTGCTAAAGAGACAATTTTCACCAGTTTTAGCCGTGACTTGTGAAACCTCAAGTCTGTTATATATACACCTGCAAATATGCACAGAATTGATCAGAGAAAATGACAAAATGGCACACGGAATGAGTCTGGCCGCTTTGAATGCAGTCGGATTCCTTTCTGCCGATCAGCCCGTCTTTATCGCATGAATCTTTTATGCTTTGCCTTATGCAAATCTTCTCCTTTATCTCTGCTTTTACTCTCAGGAACAGCCCAATGGTGCAATGTGTTGCAGAGATCTGATCCCTCAACAGGGGATTCAGTTTTTTATGAATCTAGGGTGCAATACAATTCTCTCCTATATTCCTAAGAAAAAAAGACACTCATAGTTCCCAAAACAATTTTAATCCTGTTTATGATATCTGGGCTCTCCTTTATAATTTATTTTTCCAGCCTGTGTTTCATTTAAACAAGAGACAATCCCTTTTACATGCTGTTATCTGATATCTGTATCTTGTTTTCCAGTGATTTCAAGCATGATTTAGACACAATTACAGAGACAAAGCCACATGTTTCCATGTTGTTCATGACTTCAGCCCACTGAGGCGCACAATCAAGAGTCAAATGAGTCTGTAAACAGACTCTGACACACAAGCTGTCATCTGATGGACAATTTGCTCTGCTCATGCTTATTTGACATAGGGTGAAGTGAGCACATGCGCAAACACACTCACACACTCACACACTCTCTCGTATCATTAGTGCCTGACAGTGTCATTTCTCAAACCAAACCAGGTAGCACCGTCATGCATTACCCACTGCACATACAGACCACGGTGCAACAGGAACCTGTCAATTAAAATGGATTCATTCTACTCACTCTGCATCTGCTTCAATCCAGACAGGAGAGGGAGGAAGAGGGGGGGGAGAGGGGAAGGATAAGGGAAAAGGAAGAGGGCGGGAGAGAGCGTTTTCATAAAATGTCATCATTAGTGAACACTTGTGAAGACAGCCTCAGTTATTTGACAAGACATGACCCAACCGAGTGCATGTCGGCACCACTGACCGTTTAGATAACGATGGACACACTACACTACCTCCTTTTGATGTGCAAAAGTGAAGCCAGAGGATGGCTGATGTCTAGCACTGATGGGGTCGTTTTTCAGCCAGCAGAGGCCCTTCAGTCATTTGTTTAGTTTTGCTCAGCTGTTGTTGACCATCTTTTTGTTGCTTCGTAGTAAGATAGTTAGTTAGGCTGCTCTAAGTCTGTATCTGTTGTGAGTTTCACACATTTACACAAGTTCAAAAACTCCAGTACTAACCTCAGAACTGGGAATGACTATCACTCAGATCATCATCAGCAACTCCTGACCCACTACCACACTTACAGGGCATCTTAGTAATGCAATTTTTTTAGGCCTTCCCATTGTGTTTTTGCACAACATCCTCAGTTTACGAGCCGTCTTTGTCTCTCTTCTTGCTCATTTAGAAACACTGTTAAAATATGTTGTAATTAGGGGCTTGGTACACTTATAGACACACATGCTCATGTTAAAATTTCCTGGGAATTGAGTGGGAGTGGAGCAGGAAACAAAAGTATACTGATGAGACTGAGGTTTGAGGGCTTTTAAGACACACGCCTTTTTCTATCCTAAATAATCACACTTGAACTCTGGGTGGATATAAAAACCTTGCGGTTCTCTTTCATTCTTCCTTTGCCTTGAAAAGAGTGACTCTTATTCATTCAACCCCTGAAAAAGAACGACAAAAGCAGCCCCTGCCCTGTAATAACCACACACTTAAGTTGATTATTATGTTTCTGT